TCAATTTTATTTTCTAGAGACGTAATTTCTTTATTTTGTGATTATATTATTTTGTACAAAAATTTTCATTCGTTAAGAAGTTCATCAATAGCCCCTTGAGCATCATTATCATAAATGGAAAATTCAGTACTAACCTCTTCTTCATCATCGGAATGGTGTGAAGCCATCAATGCTAGATTTTCACATTCATCGTTATCCGAATCTGATAAAGAACTTATCTCATTATCACCCCATACCATATAGGCTTTCTTGTTATTATTTTTATTTTTATTCTTGAAACCACCTTTCTTGAGAAGTTTCGGACAATCCATATTAATATGGCTTTGTTTACCACATTCATAACAAGTAACATCAGATGTTGAAGTAGAAGCCTTTTTTCTCCTTAAATGTTTCTTCCTTTTTGCATAATTGAAAGATTTATCATTTTTATTAAAATATTTACCAAGTCTTTTCACAAGAAGCATGGAGTTCTCATATTCGTCAGGAGCATCATTTGATTCTTCTTTTGATTCTACTTTTAAAGCAATAACCTTGGATTTCTTTTCTTGATGTTCACGTTTCTCTAGTCGTCCAATTTCTAATTCATGTTCTTGAAGTTTCCCGAACAATTATGCATAATTCATAGTTGAAAGACTTTTCTTTTCAGATATTACCGTCACTTTTGGTTGTCATTCTCTGCTTAATGATCTAAGAACTTTAAGATTCAATTAATTGATCATTATAAAATATCTTACTAGGAGCTATCAAATGATTTTTTAAATGCACAAATATTTTCTGCAAAGCGACGATGGATTCTCCAGGCTACATTCAGAACATTTCGTATTCTTGACCTAATGTATTCAATCTTGACCTTTTAACTTCAGTGGTTCATCCATGAGTCTCCACCAAAGTGTCCCAAATTTCTTTTGCGGATTTACATTGAGAGATGCGAAAGAATTCATCCATACTTAATGTGTTTTGTAGTATGTTAATGGCTTTCTTTTCATTTATAATTTTCTTCTTATCACCATCATCATAAGAACATTTAATCTTGGGAGTTCCGACGCCATTTACGACACTAGCTGGTTCATGTGAGCCATTCTCGACGGTTTCCCAAATTTCTTCTCCTTGTGCTTCTAAATGTACGTTCATGCGTATTTTCCAAAAATAAAAATACTCGCCATAAAATAGTGGAGGTTTGTTTCTACTATCACCATCTTACCAGATTTGTATTTGTAGAAGCCATATTGGATCTTGCAGGAACAAGTTACCTATAATCTGCTCTGATGTCAATTGTAAGTTGAGTGTGCACTTAAGAGAGCCGGGGGGGGGGGGGGGGGTGAATTAGGTGCTATGAAAATTTTTCTGGTTTTATGAATCTTTCCTAAGTTATTACTATGTGATGAAAGCTGTAAATCCAAAAAGATAAAGAACGCCGAGAGATATTTTGGTTCCTCTCACAGTTCGAGAGTACTTCAGTCCCCTTTTAACATGAAAGAGATTTTTAATATTGTTAGAACCTATACAATACTTATCCTAGTATCCCTATCACTAACAAACCAAGAACAATCCTCTTGGATTTTTGACTAAGTTAAATAGGAGATCAATCCTCTCCTTAATGAACCTTTTGCTTCCAACGATCCTAGACAGCAAGGATACAACAATAATTCTGAATTTTTATACAAAAGTATGATATGAAATACACTTATCAATCTATTGATTGATCTTCTCCTTTGAAAAAACAAATTATCAATGATATACAAGTGTTCACTTTTGAGTGAAATGAAAATTAGAATGACTTTTCAATGAAGGTTAAGTGCAGAAAGTTTCACTCTTAAAATTCTGATTTTAGAACACTTGTGCAAAATTTGAAAGATGGAGAGAATTTGAATGCTTTAAGATTTTATAAAGGAGTTGAGTTTAAAATTTGAAAATAATGAAGTTTAGATAGACACAATGCACCTCTACAGATGAGTGCAACAAATGAAAGGGTGTCATGCTTCATGATCCACATTTGAAAATCATATGACTAAAATAATGCAGTATTTTCAGACACTGCTTCAATGTTAATTGATTAACAGCTTTACACTGCAAATTAGTTAATCAATTAACCCTTCAACAACAGGTCAAAATATTCAAAAATTACATGGGATTAATCGATTAACAGCTTTGTACATCAAACTGGTTAATCGATTAACCCGAGACCAAAATTTAAAAATACTTCAGAAAATGAGATGGAAGGCAAAGATTTTCTTGAGAACATACTTTAATGAATCATGGAAAGAATGAATGATAACTTGAACACTTGTATACACAAAGAGAAATTGAGTGTCATATACCTTATCATTCATGATCAATCACCTAAATCTTCAAGACTTTTGATTCAACTTGAAACTTGAATTATGCTACTAGTCTTGAGCCATTTACTTTTTGAGAGCTTTACTTGGTTGTTGAATGTTGTTGTATTCATCAAAACATATTGAGAAGCTTGATTTTACAAGTTAGAGCATTCATAGAAGTATACAATGGAAAGTCTAGGTACACATAGGTCTTTGACATTCTTTTGTGAGAAAATTTATTTAGAACAAGATCATTTCACTTACCTATATATAAACAAGCTATAATTTAGTTGATCCGTTTACTAAGTCACTGAATTGAGACTTAGTAAAGACTATCTTGAGAGATATGAGATTGAAACTCTTTGAATAAGGGTTCTGACAACGGTAGCAACCTAATCTGAAGTTAACAAACCTTAACCTAAGATTCAATAGATAACAACAAATCGTTTATTTGGATATTTGTGCAACATTATGTTACAATGTTGACTATTACATATTGAGGGTTGAGTTTTTTTTAAACTCTTAATGAAGTTCTATATCGAGAATATGTATCTCAAGAAATAGATACAAAAGGAATTTCACATATATGATTTTCGAGATGGTGCCATCTCAAAGTGAAAGTTAAAGTTTCTCTCATGAAAAATTCACGAAAACAGGAAAAACAAATAACCATAAATAGTGCAAGGCAAGATATGTAGGCGAAGAACCATTAAAGAATGTGCGTAAGGTAACACCAGTATAATCACAAAGGATAAGATTCAAAATATAGCTACCTAACATTCTGATTAAACTTTGCGTTACCCTTACTAAGGTTAAGTTCAAATTGAAAGATAATTAACTATAATAACATTCTTTTCCTCTCATTTCCTAGAATTCGTCTTGTCATTATTAGAACAAGTGAGAGATTGTTGTAAATTATTTACAATTAATAATCTTGAGTGTGTTCCAAAATAACAAGAAAATATGCAAGTGAAAGTTAATCTTTGAATTCAAAACTAGACAACACTTGTGAAGTGTTGCAATAGATAGTTTGCATTTTAAATTCGGAAATAAGAAACACTTTGTGAAGTGTTGCAGAATGAAAAATAGTACAACTTTTAAAAAATGTTGTAGGCAAAACAATGTAACGTTTGAAAAATATTGTTGTAAGCGAAACGATGCAACACTTAACGAAAGTGTTGCTAAGCGAAAAAATCATAACAAAAACACATATTGTATTGAATAAATTCGAGACACTCTACGATACATTCGAATTTTCATCTGTCCTGTGTAAATTTGAGGAGACTGAATTATCCTAGATATTATTGCATAAAAACTTTAACACATTCAAGCGTGTTTAAAATACCATAAAAAAATGATTCCTTCACGATTTTCAACCTTGATCCATTTGATTAACAATCAATTTTCTATTATTTAGCCACTATACATAGAATCATCCCGAGAGAGTAAACATTCTTTGGAGTCTAACTACAAACTTGAAGATAATGAAATATCACTAAGGATTAAATAGACCTTACTTAAAACTATTTACTTGGGGTTTTGAGTTTTTATGCAATTATTTCATATGTTTAGTTATACAATTTATGTTTTAATTTTTGAAAGTCAAAACTATTTTTTTCAAATTTAATGTTAGAATTTTTATCTTTTTAAATAGATAATGTCTTATTGGTAATAACATTATTCAATTATTTAAGTTAATATGATTTGTGATTATATTAAAATAAAAATAAAAAATCAAAGAAAAAAGGTAAAATAAATGTTACCAAAAATACAAAACTAAATATTTATAATAATAATAATAATAATAATAATAATAATAATAATAATAATAATAATAATAATAATAATAATAATAATAATAATAATAATAATAATAATCAATTTTTGCTAAATAAAATAAAAAACTTTTAATTTTTTAAAAACAGACCAAATTATTTCCAAAAATATAAAAATAAATATTTAGTCAAAATACATAAGATAATAGATGTATTTAGTCAAAATTAGGAAATACATAAAAAATACATGAAGGACCGATAGTGTAAATTATTTTTACACTGTCAACCAATGATGACTATAATTACTTTGATATTTAAAAAAAAATTAATGGCATAGTAGACTATTGGTTTTTTATTGGATGGCAGTAGTGCATATCAACTAAACTTATAGAATTAAGAGTTTAATTGGTATGTTCTGTCATCCAATAAAAATTCATCAATCCGGCATGTCATATAAGTACCTTAAAATTTACGGTGTGATTGTCGGAATACATGATAGTGATTAGTTATCAGTGTAAAAAACTTTTAAACTGTCGGTTCATATCAATTAAATTTTAGAATTAATATATTTAGTCAAAATTAATTAATACATAAAAAATAAACTACTTTTTATATATTTGAGATTGGAATATTATTTAATAAATTTAAAAATACAATATTACAATTTTATAAAATTCTATTTAGAACAAAAAAAAATTACCAGTACCATTTTTGTATCAGAATCACAAAAACTCTCGATATATTAATTTATTTATCTCTTGGTATAAAAAATGTACCGAGCTTGTAATTGTCAAGCTATTGTAATTTAATAGTTAATAACGATAGATATTTGATAAGTGCAACAAATTAATATAAGATTATTCATAGTTCTGTGTGGTTGTCTGGAAAATTCTAAGGGCACAGAAAGATGGCAAGTTTCACCGTGGAGTACTATCTTCCAGTATTGGTTATGGTTTTGATGCAGCTTATATATTCAGGTTTGACTCTTAGTACAAGAATTGCCCTTGTGGAGGGTATGAGTCCAAGGGTATTTGTGGTATATCGTCATGCTTTTGCAACCCTAATTTTTGGTCCCATTGCTTATATATCATCAAGGTATGTACTTTACTACTCTCATTAATAACTCTATGGTTCACTCTTATCTCATGTGTATTAATTAATTATTTGCTTCTTTATCTACCTATTTTACAGGAGAAACTCTTCTTCATGTTCATTAAATTTAAGGAGTTTTTCATTGATATTCATCACCTCTCTAATCGGGTTTGTTTTCATTTTCTAGAAATAATATAATTGCATATTTACATTCACAATTAAGAATAGAAAAGACTCACTGAATAATATTTAATCGAATAATGCAGTGTTACATTGTATCAAAATTTATATTTTGAGGGTCTATATCTATCTTCTTCTTCAGTTGCAACTGCAATGCTCAATCTTATTCCAGGAATCACATTTGTAATAGCAGCTTTTGTAGGGTAATATTATTGAACTCAATATGTTTTTGTTGCGTTATCAAAACTTAAATTAATGCGTTTCGATTGATTTGAAATTGAATATTTTACAGAATGGAGAAAGTGAATATTAGAAGTTTGACAACTATAGCAAAAATAGTTGGGACATTGATATGTATTTGTGGAGCAATGTGCATTGCCTTGTTGAAGGGTCCAAAACTATTAAATGCAGAAAGCATACCTTTGAAATCAATCATGGCTACAGCTGTGGGAGGTGATGAGAACAATTGGTTGTTTGGTTGTCTGTTTCTTTTGGGAAGTAATGTTTCTTGGGCAGTTTTACTCATTTTACAGGTATTTATTTATTTTTTGTCAAAAATGATGCGATGAGTATTGCGGCTATTGTGTTGTGAAAATTTATTGAGAAATGTTTGAAATACACAGTTGAAAATTACTTAAAGTTAAGACTTTTTATTACATTTAGAGAAGATTGAGATTAGTGGTTCTAAAATTGTCTGATACAGTTTTCGGTGCAATTGCATACATAATTATAACTCACGTTGCAATTGCTTTCCGCGCCGTCACAGAGGCGACTACATCAGCAATATTGCGGTTGCATCAAAATGCATTTTATATAGATAAACTTACTCTTCTATATTTTTCTCAGGTTCCAGCTTATGCAAATCATCCTAATTATTTATCACTATCAGCATGGATGTGCTTAATGGCAACATTCCAATCAGGACTAGTCACATTATTCTTGGAGCCAAATCTAAATGCATGGAAAATTAATTCTCTACTTCAACTTGGTTGCTGTTTATATGCGGTATGTGTATATTTTTCAATCATGATACAACAATACTTATAATCAGTGGCCAAATTTATAACAAAATAAAATTTACAGGGAATTATGGCATCTGCAGTTGCATTTTGTCTCCAAGCATGGTGCATTAAAAAGAGAGGACCTCTCTTCTCTGCAATGTTTAGTCCTCTTGGGACATTAATTGTGACTGTATTAGCTGCCTTGTTTCTTCATGAAGAGTTATACACCGGAAGGTATTAATATTAAACTTCAATTAATTTATAATTAACACGTCTTGAATTATTATTAATCAAATTATATACTTATTTTGTTTCATGTGTTTTAGCTTAATAGGCGCAATTGGAGTGATCATTGGCTTGTACATTGTGCTTTGGGGTAAAGCCGGAGATGTGGTTGATGTCAAAGAGAAGATAGATGCAAAATTTATGGTTAATGAGACACAGGAAGTGACATTTTCCATGAATGAATCTTATGGAGAAAGAAGTAGTAGAATTGATTTAGAAGAACCTTTTTTAACCAATGTTGTAAAAATAGATCATAGTGGTGAGACCTCAAGTGTTGTGTAATACTGCTAATATACACGTAACGTTTAGTTCAATCTGCAATTCCAACGAATGTTTATTTCAAGGACTTCAAATTTTCTTTTGTTACAAGACCTTTATTTTTTATACTTAAGATAATACTATAAGCTATTGATATTTTATAACGTGTGTGCATATACTCTTGTTTTATTACATTTTTTATTGTTCTAAAGTTTACAACTATTACAACTATTACAAAAGCACCAAGACAGCAAGACAGCATTGGCAAATAACTACTGCAACACAAACACCTGACTGCTCCAAGATGACGATATAGTGCAAAAACAGATTTCTGCCGACGCGCCCCCAGGACAGCACCGAGGCAGCAGAGCCATGGCGAAACAAATGGCGGAAGCAAAAAATCAGAACCAAAATCTAGTCGAAAAACCAGCAGCAAAGCAGCCCAAGTTACCGATTCTGGTATATACGAGAAGAATGTTACCTGCTATTGATCCCAACCTCCATTAGAGACAGATTTAGAAGAGCACTGGCAGTTGACGGTTTTTAGGCATTCAGCTGGGAGTAATAGCCACTGAGCTAAGGGATGTTTGAAGCTCTTGACTTTACTCTCAACCAATTCCAGGAAAGGACATTTCTTTGTTTTGAAAGATCTTCACGTATCTAGCCTTCCAGATACTCCACAAATAGGCGAATCAAATGGTGTTAATTAGGGGTGCTCAAATAAACCGGTTATTTAAATAATCCATATCCATATTCAAATCCGGTTATTAAAAACCGGTTAGTTATTAGTATGGTTTTAACCAAATCCATATTTTGGATATATTTTTAATATGGTTTTAACCAAATCCACAATTTGGACATCCATATCTAAAATAAAAACCAAATGTCCAAATTAATCAATTTTTTTAATTAAAAAAAAACTTTGAAAATTTTTTTCAATTTTTTTTTTATTTTGAAAAAAAATTAATTTTTTTTCAGTAAATAAAAATTTATCCGTCATAATTATTTTACTATTTATTTTTGAAACATCTTTGACGGAAACCAATTTATTTTTCATTTCAATTTCAGCTTTAAAAATTAATTATTTTACTATTTAATAAATAATATATAAATCATATCAATCTATAAGATTTCTATTTTATTATATTTTATGTCACGTCATTTTAAATTTACCACTCAATTTTATTTGAAGTATAAGAATGAGTGATCTAAAGTGAGTGGTTTTAATTGTGAATGACTAATTTAATGTTAAACCAGTCATCTTTTATTATTATTATATGTTAACATAGATTTACATATTATACAATTTATTAATTGTTAATATAATTGTTGCACAATAATAGTTTCACACATGCACTACCTGTTAAAATATCTAAATACTTATTCTAGTATGGTTGTATTATACTAAAAGTCTATATTGCTCTCTTTAAGATGATTAAGAAAGAGTTTGTTTAAAATTTCCCCAACCAATTTGCAAAACGTTTTATTCAAGATATCTAAACTATATAATATCTCCTTCATATCACTTATTATATATAACACTATAATTATTTTATTCATGATTAAAAAAAACCAAATAAAAGCTAAATTAGTCAATTTTTTAATTAAAAAAAATTTTGAATTTTTTTTTTTAAAAAAATATTTTTATTTTGAAAAAAAATATTATTTTAATTTTTTCAGTAAATAAAGTTTTTTCAAAAAATTTTAAAAAATAAATTTTTTTTAAACTTTAAAATAACTATTGTTTTATTTTAACATCAATATTTAAAAAAAAATTATGATTTTGAAAAAATTAATTTTAAAATAAAATTAAATCAAAATAATTGTAAAATTGGTTATGGATATAACCGGTTAATAACCGGTTTATAATCATTTAAAAAAATAAAAACCGGTTATTAGAATTGGTTTTAATAACCGGTTGTAATATATGGATTATTTATGGTTATGGATTGGTTTTGGATATTAACCATCCATGACCACCCCTAGTGTTAATACCTAGCTCAAGACTTTTCTTTCCCTGCAGCACACTAGAAAATGCAGTACAAATGGAAATAATATTGTTATGTGAAACTGTGATCACCCTCAGCCATTTAAATATGTATGCCCAGACGTGAAACGCAAATATACAATCAAAGAAAATATGTGCTGAAGACTCGATCAATCCACACCCTCCTGCACAAATCTAAGTGTATGTGCTTAAAATTCCTTGCTTACTCAAATTTTCCTTTGTAGGAATTCTGTTTTGAATAGTTTGCCACATGAATACCGATACTTTGAGCGAGACGAACTTATTCCACATCGGATTGTAAAGCACTTGTGACGCCGAGTTGTTGTCATCCATTAAAAAGGAATATGTAGATTTAATGGAATAACAGTTCGACGGGCCCACAAGCCATATAATAGGAATGGACCGGACCCATAAGTGATAATGGGGATATATTAGTTGACAAAGATGATGTTGGGCCTAATCAGTGGAGGGTATATGTGAGAAAGAATAGGAAAGAGGAGTAATTGGGTAATTGACCCCGTTAGTTAGTATTTCCCAAATAAATGAGAACTGACTCAGTCAGTTAGTCAGTATTCCCAAATAAATAGGAGTTAGCTCAGGTAGTATTCTCCATATAAATAGCTGTGTATGGGGCAGTAGTTAGGTATGCTATTATTTTCTGTTTTTCGTATTAGAATTGGGTAATGAGAGAATTGTTTTCTCTAACTGAGGGCAATAGCTCTGGAATTACTTATATTTTCAAATTCATTAATAAAATAATTTTCTTTATCATATTCTATCTTATCTTTGTTCTATCAATTGGTCTGACCTACATTTGTTGATGCCCAGAGCTCCTAAGATGATTGGCCGTGTTTCTGTAGTGGAAGAACGACTGGAATGTGTTGAGGAAGCATTGTTGCATTGCGAGAGTTCATTGGTCCTAAGATTCAGTGTGCAGTGGCTAATCGTGAAGTGCCACAGCGAAGCGGTGCGACAGTTACCTCACCGTTGAATGAGTTTTATTTATCTTCTAAGAAGGTGGAGTTACAGATATTTACCAGTGACGATTTAGTTGCATGGAGATTGTCAACGATGAAGGAGAGATTGTGGTTTTGGAGGCTGAGTCAGAAGAAGAACTCACACAAGAGGAATTAGAATATAAAACCATGTGACTATTTGGTGTATCACTACTACAGAAAATCGATATCACAACGGTTGAAAAAGGGATACCATCACACAGTTCCAACCGTTGTGACGTAAGGTGTGATTGTATGTATTATGATTTCAACCACGGGCGTGTGACCGTGATTATATCCATGTAGCGCACTACCTACCACAACAGTTACTTTAAATAACCGTTGTGGTATATTAAAATGCAACATATTTAAAAACCTGTTGTTCTTGACAACTGTTGTTGTATATAGCCATGGGTTTATTATAAATTATGTGGAATGCTTATTTCGCTAATACTTACTAAACAATAACCTTCCAATTTGCACTAGAACATTATAATATGACAAAATAAGATATATTAGAAGAATAAGTACACGTTCAATGTTTTACAAGGGTCCTTCAACTCCTTATCCGTATTTTGTTCTTTGACAGTAAAAACTTAGTTTAATGATCCTAGTTCTTCAACAACCCCTGCCTTCAACTCTAATTCTTTTTGCAAAATATTATTTACTTTGCAAACAAAATTAGAGGTGGAGAGATGGGTGGTTGAAGATCTACAATCACTTAATCAAGTTCTAACAGTAAAAAACAACATGCAGTTAACAGTGTGAAGAATATTTGTCAAGAATTGAACGTGTACTTATTTTCTAATACAATTTTATCTATCATATCATAACTTTCTAATGCAGTTTGGAAAGTTATATATTCAGTAAGGAATTGGAAAAACACTCAAACCACATAATATACAATAAACTCATATTTTAAACAGACATTAACAACAACATTCATAAAAAAACATTCATCAACAACAAACAATAACCAACAAACACGATACAACAAACATATCAAGGAATAAAATGTTTCAGAAACATATCATACATGTCAAGTTTCATAATGGCGTGTCAACAATGAAATAAGGATGAAGATAAATTTAGACTAGCAAAGTTGTGTATATTTTGAATGGATGTCATTCTAGATCTTTGACAGGCTAAATTTATCTTCGTCCTCTTTATTGCAATAAGCATCCATACCTATAAGACGAAAAAAGAAGAAAGTTCAAACATCATGAAACAAGCTATTGAAACAAATTTAAAAAAAAAAACTACAGAGAAAATGAACCTGTCAAAACCCATTTGCTAAGATTTGTTGTTATAGTTTCGTTTTGTGGTTTTCATATGAGAGAGACGAGTGACAGAGTTGTTAGAGTTTCATTTTCAGAGACGAGTGAAAGAGTTGTTAAGGTTTTGTTTTGAGAGAGACGTATATTATATACTGAAGTGATAGATAATTTCACTTATATATAAATAAATATGACATTTCGTCACGGTTGGAAATAAAAGTTGTGGTGATATACATGGTCAATAACATTTTTTATCACGAAAAATGGCTTATTATCTTTATGAGATCCAGACCATTTCACTCCGTGTACTTTTCACTACGATTGCTACTTCTATCCGTTGTGACATGTCATCTAGTAAATAAATAAAAATATGCACCCAGGATTAATCTATTACCACAGTTAACACTATGGTCGTCGTAATATTAGTGTTATGAAAGGCTTATTTTGCAGTAGTGTATCCACTAACCCAAATCATGATTTTATATCGCATAAGGTGGTTGAAGCCCTTGGATTGCATATGGTGGCTTCTAATCCTTTGGGTGTTAAGTTAGGAGATGGTCATCGTGTCCTAACTCGGGGTAGATGCAATGGAATTCAGATGAACGTGGGAGTGGTACAAATTCTCTTTGATGCTTTTATGCTGAAGAGGTGTGGATTTGATTTTAGGAGTTGTGTGGCTAGAAACTTTGGGGAAAGTGACCATGGATTGGAAAAAAATGTCTATAGTGTTCAACTATAAGGGCA